GAGAATATAGGGTGTGGCTGTGGCCAGGCCCCGGGGCTGGAGTATATACACCACTGGTTTATGTGCACGCCCACACACACCTGCACCCTAACACACCTGCACCCTAACACACCTGCACCCTAACACACCCACATCCTCACACTAACACGCCCACACCCTCATGCTACACATCTATACCCATCATACCCTGTCCTCAGAGAGGAGATCCGCTCAAGGGGAGTTTATTGGGAACGACTACATAATTTGTGCTATTATCTACTGTCAATGGTTAGGTTAAGGTTACTTTAGGTTAAGGTTTGGTTTCATTACGCTTGGTTACGTTAATACAGATTTTTATCGACGATAATGTGAAATATGACATTCGAAAACTATTTTAGTGTGCCCGCGAATTCCGTTTACAGAAAACAAATTCTTCTAAGTAAATGTTTTCAGATACACTTTTTATATTTTTAACCAAAGAGTTATATTTACTATAAAGTTATAACTTGAGGATAATTTATATTTACGAAAAAAGGATCATTTGCTAGTGTACATGTAGAGTTACTGGAACTGTAATATGACTTGACATCACAGATATCTAGATATCCAGGTGGTTTGGGGGGGGGGGGTCGGCTCTCAGGGTAATGGATTTGTTGTAAGGATGGTCTTCCTTTTATCTCTCACTCACACACACACACACACACACACACACACACACACACACACACACACACACACACACACACACACCCGCACGCCTAGTCCAAAATGACTATAATTATGTATCTGGTTGATTATTACTTTTGTGAGTGTTGTGTCAAGGTGATCATGACATGTGAGAGTACTTGGTCCAGGCGTCCTGTTCTCCCGCCCCCCCTCCTTACACCCCCCTCCTTACACCACCTCTCCTTACACCCCTCTCCTTACACCCCCTCTCCTGACACCCCTCTCCTTACACCCCCTCTCCTTACACCCCCTCTCCTTACACCCCCTCGCCCCTCTCCTTGCTACACTTACACCTTAAAGCATAATATTCCGGTGATGAATGGTTGCTACACATATCTTGAAGGAGGTGATGTAATGAGTGACAGTAAGACGGGTGGTATGTAGCCCTCATGAGATGAGAGGGAGAGAGGGAGTATGGGAGGTGTTCCTGGCGCAGTGTACAGAGTAGGCGTATGTTGCGTCAAGCACAGAGGTGCAGGGCAGGTCCTCCCCCACCTCCCTCTCTCCCTGGTGCGTCATGATAACGAGGGCGTGGGTGAGGGGTCATGGGGGAGGGAGGGAGGGAAAGTCACGCTCCCTCCCACCTCCCTCACCTCTCCCACCTGCCTCACCTCTCCCACTTGCCTCACCTCTCCCACCTGCCTCACCTCTCCCACCTGCCTCACCTCTCCTCCAGTTGTCTCTCATAGTGCACGTAACCTTTGCAGCGGAGTGGCCACCTGCTTCACCTTACGACCCCTCACCCCACACCACCTGGCGGGCCCTCACCCCACACCCACACCACCTGGCGGGTCCTCACCCCACACACCCACACCACCTGTACGACCCCTCACCCCACACCACCTGGCGGGTCCTCACCCCACACCCACACCACCTGTACGACCCCTCACCCCACACCACCTGGCGGGCCCTCACCCCACACCCACACCACCTGGCGGGTCCTCACCCCACACCACCTGGCGGGTCCTCACCCCACACCCACACCACCTGTACGACCCCTCACCCCACACCACCTGGCGGGTCCTCACCCCACACCCACACCAAAAGCCAGCTGCCCACGCAGCACTCTTGCCGTGCCCTCTGGTGAGGAGAGAGAGAGAGAGAGACAGAGACGAGAGAGGCAGCAAACACAGGGGGTCGGATGCTCCTGTAGTTCCCCTTTAACACCGCCGCCTCCACCCTCACAGACCAAGGCACTCCGTCACGGCCACTCCTCACCCTCCACAAGTGCCACACAACTATACCAAATATGACAATAGTGAACTTGGGACATGGAGTTAATACAGGCACTAAACACAGACAGAACTTGGTGGTCCAGAGTCAAGAAGGCAGCTCAGAGTCACTCTGGAAACGACATAGCAACACAGGGTAAAGATCGACCAAAGCTGCTCCATCGTCACGTAGGAAAAACAATATTAAGAGATCATGTGATGGGGGTGAAGATGCTAGAGGGTATTCTCACAGAGAGCGACAAGGAAGTGTGTGAGGAGCTCGGCATGAGGCTCCAGAAGTTGTACAAAACAGAACTAAGACGATATGCGACAACATTTAATAACACGAGAGTCACTGAAGAAGTAAAACCCATTATGTGCAACTAGACCCAACAATAACAGTTGCAACAGACTTACCACCGTCTGAAGGTGGTAAGTCTTACTGCTGCAGGAGGCCGCACCGATGTTTTCTTATACGCTAATTAAGACAGACAGATTTCCCAGACATTTAAAGAAGGACAAACGTGGCCCCAATACTCATGAAAGGTACGGAGGCGCAGGAAGCCACAGGTGTGTGTCACTCTCACACATGACTGCTGGAGAAAGTAAGCACCACGAGAATAATGGAGAATCGAAAACAAAAATGGTTATTTTAAGGGGGTTGGTGGGTTCTCAGGGGATATATTAAAGTAGGAAAGAGAACTGGGAGTAGTTACATTCCCAACACCAATACCGGAGGCACACACACAAACTGGGTAACATCAGTAGCATATGGAACGCTATCAAACATTAGAACGTAGTTTTAAAACATAAATTTAAAATCTTGCCAAGCAATCTACTCAGACTTTATCAGACCAATACTGGAATATGTAACAATAACCTAACCTTTGCACCTTTTACATCACAAGACCAAAATTGAAAATAAGAAAATGATTGCAGCATAGTTAGTGCTAAAACTAATAGGATTAAACTATGAGGAAAGGCTAAAGGGAACCAGCTCTCATAATTCCACAAAGAAACAAGGAACATGATCGCAACATACGAGATACTGAGCGGGAATACACAAGGTGGAGGACAACCTCTTTAACTTGAGAGACAGTACGACGAGAGGACACAGGTGGAAGCTGGAAATGCAACAGTCTGAGAAATGTAAGGAAGTGTTGGTACCTCTCTGTTCCCTAGCAGTAAAATAGGTACCTGGGTGTTAGTCAGCTGTCACGGGCTGCTTCCTGGGGGTGGAGGCCTGGTCGAGGACCGGGCCGCGGGGACACTGAATTCACTGAATCCACTGAATCCACTGAATTCATTGAATTCACTGAATTCATTGAATTCACTGAATTCACTGAATCCACTGAATTCATTGAATTCACTGAATTCACTGAATCCACTGAATTCATTGAATTCACTGAATCCTCTCCAGCTTTCACAACCTCAGTAACATCTGGTACTAAATGAACCTCACCCACGAATAGAAAACGTAACATCACGTCATTTTTCCTAGCCGATATAATTTTGAATGCATCTTTGACGTTGGGATCATTACGTCAAAATACGGTGTGTTATGCGACAGGACATGTTGCATAAAGTGCTCACACTACACCTCCCGTCTCGTGGACAGTAACTGGTGCTTCTGTCTGGCTGGTTCTTCTCGGTCTGATCCTCTTGCTGTTAATAAAAAAATAATTAATATAATTGTTACCCCCATTTTTCTTAGATTATTCCGTTTTCCATCATAGCTCAGCTTCAGGGTGTCTATCGTAGCTCAGGTTAAGACTGTCTATTGTAGCTCAGGTTAAGATTGTCTATCGTAGCTCAGCTTAAGACTGTCTATCGTAGCTCAGGTTAAGACTGTCTATCGTAGCTCAGCTTAAGACTGTCTATCGTAGCTCAGGTTAAGACTGTCTATCGTAGCTCAGGTTAAGACTGTCTATCGTAGCTCAGGTTAAGACTGTCTATCGTAGCTCAGGTTAAGACTGTCTATCGTAGCTCAGCTTAAGACTGTCTATCGTAGCTCAGGTTAAGACTGTCTATCGTAGCTCAGGTTAAGACTGTCTATCGTAGCTCAGGTTAAGACTGTCTATCGTAGCTCAGCTTAAGACTGTCTATCGTAGCTCAGGTTAAGACTGTCTATCGTAGCTCAGGTTAAGATTGTCTATCGTAGCTCAGGTTAAGACTGTCTATCGTAGCTCAGGTTAAGACTGTCTATCGTAGCTCAGGTTATCGACTGTCTATCGTAGCTCAGGTTAAGATTGTCTATCGTAGCTCAGGTTAAGACTGTCTATCGTACCTCAGGTTAAGACTGTCTATCGTAGCTCAGGTTAAGATTGTCTATCGTAGCTCAGGTTAAGACTGTCTATCGTAGCTCAGGTTAAGACTGTCTATCGTAGCTCAGGTTAAGATTGTCTATCGTAGCTCAGGTTAAGACTGTCTATCGTAGCTCAGCTTAAGACTGTCTATCGTAGCTCAGGTTAAGATTGTCTATCACAACTCAGCTTAAGAAAGTATTAGGCATCGCATTATTGATATAAATAAATAATTAGAATTAATTATACTTATATATTACTAATTATTTTTATTATTTCTGATTATTTCCACTTTAATATTTATAAAGCGATACATTGCAAGTATTAAGTATATATATATCGCTGTTTAACCGTTTATACTAATAGTATACTTTTGGCAAGTATATTTGTTGCTGGTGGTGTATATATGTAAGTTAATGGCAAGATTAATCCAAGTCATTATTGCCATGTGTAGACCAGGTAATTTGCTTGTCAGGTGGAGGGCTTGAGTGGGTAGTTAGTGCCTCCGTCTTGAGCAGGTGGTATGAGAGTTATGTTCCAGGGGTATGCTCAGTCATCTGGCCCCGTTGGTGGGGGTATACCTTGGGTGTATACTAATGTTGTTGTGCTTGCGGGGGTTGAGCTCCGGCTCTTTGGCGTGGGTTTGTGAAGGCTTACGGGGGGAGGTAAGGTAGGTATTGTGGTTGATAAGTAATATATTAAGAGCCCCGGTGGGTGTAGGCGGCCATAGAGGAAGACTGATCTGTGCTTCTCCCCCGCCCGCACGCCCATACGCCCACAGGCACTCCAGCTGGCCCTGTGTCCCGTCGTCGGTGCTGTGCGTCTCTCAAGCGTTCAGGTAGGCTGTTGCTGCCGCATGATCGGTTACTAGTGTCCGGTTACATCCCGCCGCATGTCCGGTCACGTGGCAGCATGTTCCGGTCGCCGCATGTCCGGTTAGCTGTGTGTGTGTGTGTGTGTGTGTGTGTGTGTGTGTGTGTGTGTGTGTGTGTGTGTGTGCATGCCAGTCTCCTCCCCCCCTCTCCTAGGCCAGGGCTCGCTCACACAAGACCTCGTGTACGTAGCCCACCTCGCCACGTGTCTGCATGTCACCATCTTGTGTGTGTACCTGTGTGCACCTGTGTGTCCGCATGCCAGGGCCCCGTACCATGTACGCATGTCTGTGCGGGGAGTTATTAGTCTTACCTGTTCACACCTTAACTTTACACTGTTAGTTTGTTAGTTTTAATTCAGTTTAGGACAGTTTCTGTAGCATAACATGATCCAAGGGGTAGAAATACAGTCTGCCAGCTATATTATTTATCTGCGTCTTTGTCAGTCCTTCATATATATATATATATATATATATATATATATATATATATATATATATATATATATATATATATATATATATATATATTTCATCACTCCTGAAGATGTATTAATATACGAAAGTCCTTAAGGAAATTTCTGTTTCAATTCTTCCTCCGTGGACTGACATTGTCACATTTATCATCACGTATTAATTTTCGTGATTTACATACACACACAGTGTGTGGAGCCGGTGGCCGAGCGGACAGCACGCTGGACACGTGATCCTGTGGTCCCGGGTTTGATCCCAGGCGCCGGCAAGAAACGATGGGCAGAGTTTCACCCTATGCCCCTGTTACCTAGCAGTAAATAGGTACCTGGAAGTTAGTCAGCTGTCACGGGCTGCTTACTGGGGTGTGTGTGTTGTGTGAAAAAAGTAGTAGTAGAAACAGTTGATTGACAGTTGAGAGGCGGGCCGAAAGAGCAGAGCTCAACCCTCGCAAGCACAACTAGGTGAATACACACACACACACACACACACACACACACACACACTTCTGGGGTGTGAGTTTTCAGTTGTATATAGTCCTGGGGACCATTCAGGCTTGTTTGCAAATATATATATATATATATATATATATATATATATATATATATATATATATATATATATATATATTAGTATATTTTGGTAGCAGTCTTTCCTGTAGACATATATTATTAAATATGACCGAAAAAGTAAGATTAATAATTCTAACACGAATTTTCTCAATCTTTCGTACATTTCTTTTCACTGTTGGAGGTAAATCAAAAATCAATTCTCCAAAATTCATTTTTATTTCTAGTCTGACGCGACACGAGCGCGTTTCGTAAAACTTATTACATTAAACTAGTCAACAACGGCTTCTCCAATGGTTTCGTCGAAGACATCATAAGAAGGAAAGTGAAAAGCCATGCAACCTCTGAAGAGACAACTAACAAAACACCTATACCCCCTATTAGACTATTTTACAGGAACTTCTTTTCCACAGCTCATAAAACGGAGGAAAGGGTCCTGAAAGATATTGTTAATAGAAACGTTATCCCTACAGACAAAAATCAGAGGATACAACTGACGATTTACTATAAAACCAGAAAAACGGCCAGCCTACTCATGAGAAACTCTCCAGACACAAAACAGAACGCTTTAAAAGAGACTAACGTCGTCTATGCCTTCAAATGCCCTCTTGGGGACTGTAAGCTCCAAAAAACCCAGTATATAGGCAAGACAACAACATCTCTTTCTAGGCGTTTAACGATGCATAAGCAACAGGGCTCCATTAAGGAACATATAATCTCTTCCCACAACCAAACCATCTCCAGAGAAATCCTAGTAAACAACACAGAAATCATCGATAGATACAGCGATAGCAGGCGGCTTGACGTTTGCGAGGCACTACACATCAAGAAGTCAACACCAGCAATCAACAGCCAATTATTGCACAACTATATTCTACCCACCTCAAGACTCCGCTCCAATATAGAAGCATCAAGAAATATGGACCAATAGGCTTTCTACAAACACTTCTATTCAATATCCATTGTTTCGTGTTCTGTCTTGTGTTGATGAAATTAATACCCTATTAATATCACCTCTTGTTCTGTCTTGTGTTGATGAAATTAATACCCTATTAATGCCACATCTTGTTCTGTCTTGTGTTAATGCCACATCACCCCTTCCACCTCACTCAAATGTAGATATAAAATCGGAGATGCGTAAGTTCTATTCAGTTGTGTATTTGTGAACTAAAGTCTTTGAAAATGTAATAAGTTTTACGAAACGCGCTCGTGTCGCGTCAGACTAGAAATAAAAATGAATTTTGGAGAATTGATTTTTGATTTACCTCCAATCAAATATATATATATATATATATATATATATATATATATATATATATATATATATATATATTTTTTTTTGTTTTCCACTATTGCTTCTATGACTTGTCAGTCCATCTGTGGCTTATGGCTCATGTCTTATATATAGACACTACATTAGCCATTTTCCAAATCTTGGGAAGTTGGCCCATTTCTTGCGAGGAGTTGAGAACAGTATCAAGGAGTTTACACCAAAAATGTTGTAGCAGCCTCTAGTAGTATCCACGGTGAGATCTTGTTTAGACCCGTGGTGCTTCATCTTGTCCATCTTCACTTAAGTTGTGAGGGCGCATCCGATCCCACGATCGTCGTCGCCCCTAAATCAACACAACAAGTTAAGTTGTTTCCGTAATGTCGGCAGACAGTCTTCTGAGACATTGTAGACGAATCTCCTCCTTTGTTCGCTCGTTCATGAGACCCAGAGGTGAGCAGGCAATAGTAATTATTCGGAAAAGCG